AAACTCATCGAAACTCATCGTAAACTAATCGGAAACTCATCGAAGCCCATCGGGAACTCATCGTGAACTCTTCGGAAACTCATCGAAACTCATCGGAAACTCATCGGAGACTCGTAGGGAGGAACTCATCGGCTCCAATCGGAGATATTGAGGTCAGAGACGACGGGGGGGTCACAGCGAGCCACCCCAACCATCTGAAGAACCACACACCGCGCGCACGGGCGCACCCTGAGCGGCGGTTCCACACGAAACAAGCTGGCCCACCAACGCACTGACCTCGACAGCTCCTCGCGAGGTGAGCGCCCATGAGAGCTGTTCGACACGCCGAAACACACAGCCCGCCGCCGTTACGTCGTCGAGAAGCCTGTGGCACGACGACGCACCGAGACACGACCACGACGAGACGAGACGACACTGACGACCGACCCCACGAAACGACGAACGACCAACCAACTCTTCGGAGTCTGCGACTGGACGACCACCGAACACACGGACACACACCGACGAACGCGGAGCGAGCGCACGCGGCTCGAGCGGCGGCGACGACGACGACGACTACGACGACCACCCATGGGTGGTCGTCGTAGTCGTCGTCATCGTTGTCGCCATCGGTGCCGGAACGACGGGGGAGGACGCCGACGACGACGACGACGACGACGACGACGACGACGACGACGACGAGTAGAGATGGCCTCCGTGGCCGTCTCCTGCGCCGTCTCTGGCGGCGGCGAGGCCGCGGGCGGCGGCGAGGCCGCGGGCGGCGGCGTGGCCGCCTGCGGCGTGGCCGCGGCCGAGCTGGCCACGCTCTCCACCGCCGACGCCGCCGCCGTCGTCGGGGGCGTCGGCGGCTCCTCGGCCGCCGAGCCCTTCCCCGCACGCGGGGTCGCGGGCGGCGTGGCAGCCTCGAAGGGTGCCATCGCGCGCGCCCCGCGGAAGCGCGCCAACTGGGCGCGCGGAGGAAGGTTGACCTTCCTAGTGGCCTCGAAGTAGCCCAACATGCTCGATCGAGCCAGAACGCCGATCGCGATCGATCGAGCCAGAACGCCGACGACGACGACGACGCCTCGCGGGGCGTCGTCGTCGTCGTCGTCGTCGGACGATGGTTTCCGACACCGCGTGGAGCGTTCGTCCCCGAACATCGAGATTTCGCGCCGCGGCCCCGTGCCCGCGAGCACTGGGGCCCGAGATGGGCCCCCGTAGCGCGTTCAACCTTGATCGCGCGAGGCGCCTCCGCGCCGTCCGCCCCCCTCCTCCTCCTCCTCCTCCTCCTCCTCCTCCGCCATTTCCTCCTCCCCCGTCCTCCTCCTCAGTAGGGTTCGGGGCATCTGGGGCTTTGAACAACTACACGGATGGAGGGCGGGTACTTTCAAAATGGCGCTCTCGCCCCGCTCACTGTTTCACTTACTTTTTCATGTTAAGCGCGGCGCCCGTTTATTTAACGAGCCGCGTCCCTAATTGTCTTAACCCGCGCCGCCTACGGGCAGCGGTGTACCCGACGGCCTCGTGGCAGTGTTCAACACGTACCACGTGATCGGGCATTATTTGATACGTACGCATCGCAAACTCATCGGAAAACCATCGGCAACTCGATTGGTAGTGCATCGGAAACTCATCGGATTCGATGGGCAGGCTTAAGGGTCGTTTCACCTGCGGCCCACTAGACTGCCTCAAGACGGCTCAAGATGGCCCAGAGACGGCTCATGATGCAGATATGACTCATAACTGTTATTTTTAAACAGATATTTGCCATAACTGCTATTTTTGCAGATCTGACTGTTAACTGCTATGTTTTACAGATATTCGCCATAATTGCTATTTTTTGCAGATATGGGTTATAACTGCTATTTTTTGCAGATATGACTTAGGACTCTTATGAATTTACAGATATGCTCAACATGATATAAAAATGCGCATAACTGCTATTTTTTGCATATATGATTCGCAGCCGGTATTTTTTGCAGATATTTTCTGCAACTGCTATTTTTACATATATCGAACCTCAGGGTTTGCGAGAGGGCATCGCGGCCGTTATGTTTGCGGGTCCGGGTCCGTCGGTTTCGGTCCCAGGCCGTGTTCATTTAGGGGAGGTTTACTAAAGGGAGGTTTGTCCACCTCCGAACCTAGGGGAACAAAAAGTGGCATAAGCATAAAGACTTGGAAGTCCGCGCGGATTTCTCGGATCGGCGCTGGACTCCCCTCCCTGGCGCGCGGAGCGCGCCAGGGGCGGCGCCTGGGGCGCCGCCGGGGGGCCCCAGCGCCGATCCGAGAAATCCGCGCGGACCTCCGAGGTTTCATGTTATGTCACTTTTTGTTCCCCTAGGACCGCTCCTGCAGGTCGGCCTGAGCCGGCTGCGCGGGTCCAGCTCCTGCACGCTGGTGCTCTCGATTCTCCCCTCGGAAGCTGGAACATATATGCATTACCAGTGGCGGGCTCCCTTTCCACCCCAGGACTTTTTGAGGGTCAGGGACGACGTCGGGGAGGTGTGGTGCATATTTGTCCCCCGTTATCCAAGGGAAGCAACACAAAATGTATACACCAGGATTCCGTATACACCAGAATCCGCGTTCCTGTGCGAATTTCAGCGCAGGGTCGGGAAGAGCGTCGGTGTATAGAGTTCGTTTTCCTATCTCCCTCCCTTTTTCAAGCAGTGGCGAAGCGTCCTGGCGTGCCTATAGGCCTATCAAACAGTGTTCTAAGAACCTCTTGTGGCTGCCACGAAATGTTTTTAGAACATTTCTGGTTTGGGCTGTCGTGTTTTAGCACATCGGGCTTACGTCCTAAGAATTCTGGTTCTGTTCGTAAAACATCAGTGGGTTCTAAGAACATCTCGTGGTAGTCTTATAGGGATACCGGGACGAGGGCCCCTGGTCAATATTTTTCCCCTTCCTGCTTTACCTGGTCACTGGGAGGGCACCAATGGGGGAGTCTTTCCTCCAACGCCCGGGTCACCAGCAAACACTGCCTGCTGGCACACCGACTCCAACTGCTCCGTAGCACAGCAACCGCCACGGAGTCATACGGAGCAGAGACGCGGACGCCCACGGAGCCCGTCCGGCAGCACTTGCGACGGAGGAGGAGGAGGAGGAGGAGGAGGAGGAGGAGGAGGAGGAGGAGGAGGAGGAGGAGGAGGAGGAGGAGGACGGGGAGGGGGGACGGAGGGGGAGGAGGAGGGGGCCCCCCCCCCCCCCCCACGTCTCCTTTAGTTCCTCTCATCTCTTAACCCCTCTCTCCTCTCTTCTCTCCTCCCCTTCTCTTTCTTCTCCCCCGCTCTATACCCTTTTTCTTCTTCTCTCCTTTCTTATTTTACCCCCCCTTTTCTTCCCCCCTTCCCCCCCTGGGGCGAGGAGGGAGGAGGAGGGGGAGGGGAGCGGAGGCAGGGGGGGGGCGTCGGAGAGTAACAGTCGACATTTTCGGGCGGGGGATGGTAGGAGAGGAGTAGGAGGGGGAGGGGGAGTGGCTGAGGAGGGAGCGAGCGAGGAAGGAGGAGGAGGAGGAGGAGGAGGAGGAGGAGGAGGAGGACGCACGCTTCGCATGACCATCGGGACGCCGCGACAGCGCACGACCGGCCAGTCAGATCTCGCTTGCAGCCGGTGGGCTATGGCATTTTTGGAGTGTCATAGACTCTCCCGATCTGTGCATCGACGCGGCGAGGACAAATCACCCCTGCCGCCTCATCTCAGAGCGTGAATTACCTCCCCCGCTTTCGCTTCCAGGAAAAACCAAGGCATACCACGCGCCTCCTCGTCAAGCGGCCTGACAAGTACAGGCCGTAGTTTGGCATCGCTTGGTATCTCTTGGAAGCGAGGGTGGTCAAAAGCGAGGTAGGTTTGTTCCCCCCCAATCATCACCACCGTCATCAATAGCGCTGCCGTCGCGGCCTTCGTCGTCGTCGTCCCGACTCTGGTGTCGGGCCGGGCGAAAGGGGGGGATTGGGAAAGGCGGGGTTACGAAATCTGCTGCATTCAGCTGGTTCCGGCCCCACCGAGGGGCCCATCCCTCGATACATAGCCGCCTCTTGCGCAGGGAGGCGCCGGGAAAATCAGCTGCGTGAGCTGATTCTCAAACCCCCCCTTTGCTATCCCCCCCTTTCGCCCGACCCGATGGTTGCCTCTTCCATAAAAAGTATTGCACTGAGGGTCTCTTATCTGGGTTCTGAGACGGTTCGTTTTGCTCACGGACCTCACGGTTCTGTTCGTGCAGTTCTTTGACACGCAGGCATGCCGCGCCCGCCATCGAAGAACGCTACAACCACCACCGCCCGCCTCTCGCGCGGTGCTTGGGTCTGATCAGATGGGGCAGCACCTTCATCCTCCTTCTCGTCCTCATCATCATTACCACAGTCCTCATCCCCACCATCCCCATCATCACCATCATCATCAGCAGCATCACAATCACCGTCTCGTCGTCATCATCAGCATCAGCATCACCATCCGCATTACCAGCATGGTCATCATCATCACAATCCTTCTCGTCATACTCACCATTACCACCATCATTATCGTCATCATCAGCATCATGATCACCATGTTCATCTCCATCTTCATCGTCATCATCAGTATCATCCTCATCATCACCATGATTACCACCATCGCCACCACCATCACCATCACCAACATCACCAGCATCATCAGCAGCATCTTCATCATCGTCACCATCATCAGCAACACCAGGACCATCATCATCATCACCATCACCATCATCAGTATCATCATCCTCGTCATCACCATCATCATCACTAACACCATCATCATCACCACCAGTATCACCATCATCACCATCATCATCATCATCATCATCAGTATCATTATCATCATCATCATCATCATAATCATCATCATCATCATCATCATCATCATCATCGCCATCACCATTGCCATCATCATCACCATCGTCATCATCAACACCATCGTCATCATCATCATCATCACCATCATCACCACCACCACCATCGTCATCGTCATCATCATCATAATCATACTTGTTCTGTGTTTTGGCCTAAAAGTTGGTTGCAGCCCGCCTGATTTGCAAGCACTCCCGGACACATCGCAATCTACTATCAATGCCGTCGGCCGCGGATCGCATGGAGCTCGCGGAGGTCGGCGGCGAGGCGAGCGGGTCGGAGCAGTTCTTGGTCCAGGATGCTCGCGCCAGGCGTTCGCCCTGGCGAGCGGCGGGTGGCGCAGGTGTGGCCGCCTTGCTCCTGGCTGGCGCAGGCGCGGGGGCAGCGCGCTTGGCTGTAGGCGGGGCGGCGTCGGACACGGACCGCCTCCAGAGCAAGGCGCAGACGGTGGCCATGCCCCCGCGCGACAAATGCGCCAGCACGGACGACGATTGCTACAGCCTGGGGTGTTGCAACGTTGCGGGCCTGAATTGCTTCGAGACCAAGCCAGGGAAGGGCAAGTGCCTGAAGAACTGCACCCCCAGCGCCTCCCAGCTGTGCGTTCAGACGCAGCCGATCATGGACCCGATCCTCAAGGATGCCGACTGGTACGGCCCATCATTGTACTGCTTCGCAGTGGTCATGCAGGACATCGGCAGCACAAAGAAGATGTACGACCTGGAGCTGCTGCAGGGAGCATATGGCAGGAAGACCAGCATCTTCGGGTGCGAGAACTGGGGAGTATTCAGCGACAAAGAGGGGGAGGTCGGGCCGGGTGCTCCTCTCGTGAAGCTGGAAGATGCCGACGGGGACTTCCATTTCGCGAAGAGAGAGGAGACCGGCACCTGGCTGAATACGGGCTTGCACTACCAGGCCTGGAAGGCGATTGGGGAAGCGGGCGTGTACAAGAGCGCCAGCTGGGTCGTGAAGGTCGATCCAGACGCGGTGTTCGTGCCGAGCCGCTTGGTGTCCTACCTCTCTAGCAAGCTGGTCCCTGCCAACGGCCTCTACCTCGAGAATTGCAAAGGCGTGAAGTACGGGTGGTTCGGCAGCTTGGAGATCTTCTCGGCGGTGGCCTTCGAGACGCTCCTGGGGTCGATGGCGGGCGTTGACGGAGGCAAGTACGGCCCCATGGGCGAGGATCTGTTTGCGCAGGTTTGCTTGGATGCGAACGGCGTCTCCCGTGGAGAGGCATTCGGTACCAAGCTGGACGGAACTTGCGAGGCGGACCGGCCAACCGACGAGAAGAAGAACAAGAAGTGGAAGCCCACGTGCGACGGCGAAAACTTCCCGGCGTACCACCCGTTGATGAAGCCCGAGGACTATATGGCGTGCTTGGATGCCACCACCAAGGCATTCGGCTACTGAGCACCCTGCAGGAGTCAGTGAAACTGCGGTGCGCCAGACAGAGCGCCCTGCCCGCCTGCCTCGCGCGCCACACGCCCGCTGTTTTTTGGTCGTGCAAGCTTTTTTTTGCGCTGCCCTGGCCCGTCCTCCACGCACAAAGTTGGTGATGAACAGAGATGTGTCAGAGGTAGCAGGCAGCCTGGCGCTGTTGAATTATGGGAGGACCCCATTTCTTCCAGCTGGTGGATCGGCACCTGCCTTTCCACGGAGGCCTCCGCGGTAGTCTGAGCTGCATAGATTATCCCAATCTGAATCGATGCGGCGAGGACAGCAAATCATCCTCACCGTCTCATCACCACCATCATCAACACCGCCGTCGTCGCGGCCTTCGTCATCGTCATCCCGACGTTGGATTATTCTTCTGCAAACAGGTCTTGCACTAAGGGGATCATCATTATCATCAGCACCATCACCGTCATCATCAGCAGCATCATCCTTATCCCCATACTCATAATCATCATCGTCATCGTGATCATCATCATCATCATCATCATCATCATCACCATCTTCATTGTATTCACCACCTTGTTCTTCCCAACATCATCATCAGTAGCATCAGCAACATCATCATCATCATCATCATCATCATCATCATCAGTATCAGTATCATCATCATCTCCATCATCACCATCATCATCATCATCATCATCATCATGATCGTCGTCTTTATCATCACCTTCATCATCACCATCACCATCATCATCATCATCATCGTCATCATCATCAACAACAACATCACTATCATCATCATCAGTGTCTTTATCCTTGTCCCTTTTCCCAACAACATCGTCAGCAGCGTATCCTCATCATCATCTTCATCATCATTATTATCATCTGTATCATTGTCATCACCATCATCAACGTCATCATCACCATCACCATCATCATCATCATCATCACAATCATCAGTATCAATATCAGCATCATCATCAGCATAATCATCATATTCATCATCATCATCATCAGCATCATCATCATCATCATCATCATCATCATCATCATCATCATCATCATCATCATCATCAGTATCGTTCTCATCAACACCATCAGCAGCAGCAGCGTCGTCGTCACCAGCAGCAGCACCAGCACCGGCATCACCACCACCACCAGTATCATCATCAGCAGCAGCAGCGGAATCATCATCATCACCACCACCATCCTTACCATAATCATCAGCAATATGATTATTGAATCGCTTCACTCATTCCGCCGGCCCATTTCGCATGACTGAGCCTCTTGGGGCCGCTGGGGGGCCTCTTCAGCGTCGCTTGGGGGCCTCCTGAGGGCCTCTTGGGGGCTTTTGGGGCCTCTCAGGGGCCTCTTGAGGCCTCTTGAGGCCTCCTGGGGGCTTCTTAAGGCCGAGGGCTCGAAATTTTGTTTTGTGTTCCCCCTTTGGGGCATCGCTTGGGGCCCTCTTGGGCCCCTCTTGGGCCGTCTTGGATGCCTCTGGGGCCGTCTTGGAGCCCTCTTGGGCCATCTTGGGGCTTCTTGGGAGCTTCTTGGGCCCTCTTGGGGCGATCTTGGGGGCCTCTTGGGCCGTCTTGGGGCGTCGGGAAGCCGAAAAGATGGACACGCCAAAATCTGCCCAAAACCTAAGGAAAAGTAATGAATTTTGCCTCTTGGGGCCCTCTGGGGAGTGCTCTTGGAGGCCTCTTGGGGCGTCTGGGTGCCATCTTGGGCGTCTTGGAACGATCGTGTGGCATCTCGGAGCACTCTTGAACCATCTTGGAGGGCTCTTGGGTGCCTCGTGGCCCTTCTTGGGGCTCTCTGGAGGGCCACGGGGGCGGCGCCCAGGAGGAAAACCATCTCTGACCTGAGTCTGCCGGGGATCGCCCGGGGTAGTTTTCGTCCGGGGACCCCCAGAGGCCGCCCCGCGCGCGCGAAGTAGAAGTATTATTTAGCAGTTACCGGAGATCTTAGCACGCCTCTGGCCCGTTGGGCCGGCGAATTTCCCTTTGTGGTCCAATGCGGCCGGCGAATTTCCATCTTTACGAGTTGTTTTGGTTCAAGAGTTCGTTGCAGCCTGCCTGGTCTGCGAGCACTCCTGGCCATATCGGGCCTGCTATCAATGCCTTCGCCCACGGATCGCATGGAGCTCACGGAGGTCGGCGGCGAGGCGAGCGGGTCGGAGCAGTTCTTGGTCCAGGACGCTCGCGCCAGGCGTTCGCCCTGGCGAGCGGCGGGTGGCGCAGGTGTGGCCGCCTTGCTCCTGGCTGGCGCAGGCGCGGGGGCAGCGCGCTTGGCTGTAGGCGGGGCGGCGTCGGACACGGGCCGCCTCCAGAGCAAGGCGCAGACGGTGGCCATGCCCCCGCGCGACAAGTGTGCCAGCACGGACGACGATTGCTACAGCCTGGGGTGTTGCAACGTTGCGGGCCTGAATTGCTTCGAGACCAAGCCAGGGAAGGGCAAGTGCCTGAAGAACTGCACCCCCAGCGCCTCCCAGCTGTGCGTTCAGACGCAGCCGATCATGGACCCGATCCTCAAGGATGCCGACTGGTACGGCCCATCATTGTATTGCTTCGCAGTTGTCATGCAGGACATCGGCAGCACAAAGAAGATGTACGACCTGGAGCTGCTGCAGGGAGCATACGGCAGGAAGACCAGCATTTTTCGTAGCGGGTACCTGGAGTAAATCAGCGTCAAAAGAGGGGGAGGTCGTCCGGTGCTCCCCCTCAGAAGTCTGGAGCATGCCGCCGGCGGGACTATCCCTTTCGCGAGAGAAGAGGAGACCGGCACCCTGGGCTGAATACGGGCATGCACTACCAGGCCTGGAAGAGCGATGGGGAAGCGGGCCGTGTACAAGAGCGCCATGCTGGGTCGTGAAGGGTCGATCCTGACGCGTGGTTCGTGTCCGTAGCCGCTTGGTGTCTACCTTCTCTAACCAGCAAGAAGCTGGTCCCCTCCTGCCAGACGCGGGCCACCGTACCTCGAGAAATGCAAAGGCGTGAAGATGTGGTGGTTCGGCAAGCTTGGGAGATCTTCTCGGCGGGAGGTGGGAGCCTTCCGAGACGCTCCTGGGGGTCGAATGGCACTCACTCATATGCAAAAGGAACAAGACAAAAAAAAACCGGTTCCCATTGGAAAACGGGCGTTGACGGAGGCAAATACGGCCCCATGGGCGAGGATCTGTTTGCGCAGGTGTGCCTGGATGCGAAGGGCGTCTCCCGTGGAGAGGCATTCGGCACCAAGCTGGACGGAACTTGCGAGGTGGCCGGACCGGCCAAACCGAACGGAAAGAAGAACCAGAAGTGGAAGCCCCACGTGGCGACGAGCGAAAACTACCACCCCATCCCGGCGTACCAACCCACACCTTTGATGAAAGCCCAGGCCTAACATGCGTGCTTTTGGAATCCCACAACCTAATCCACCAAGGCATTCGGCTACTGAGCACCCTGCAGGAGCCAGTGAAGCTGCGGTGCGCCAGACAGAGCGCCCTGCCCGCCTGCCTCGTGCGCCACACGCCCGTTGTTTGTGGTCGTGCAAGCATGTGTTGCGCTGCCCTGACCCGTCCTCCACACACAAAGTTGGTGATGAACAGAGATGTGTCAGAGGCAGCAGGCAGCCTGGCGCTGTTGAATTATGGGAGGACCCCATTTTCTTTCAGCTTGTGGATCAGCATCTGGCCTTCCACGGAGGCCTATGCTTAACCTCAGCTGCATAGTTTCTCCCGATCTGTATCGCTGCGGCGAAGACAGCAAATCACCCTCATCGTCTCATCACCACCATCAATACCTCCGTCGTCGCGGCCTTCGTCATCGTCATCCCGATGTTGGATTGTTTCTGCAAACAGATATTGCAATCAGCGGGTCACCATCATCATCCTCATCAGCAGCAGCATCATCATCATAACGATCATCATCATCATCATCATCATCATCATCATTATCATTATCATCACCATCATCATCATCATCATCATCATCAGCATCATCATCATCATCATCATTATCATTATCAGTATCATCATCATCATCATCATCATCATCATCATCATCATCGCCATCATCATCAGCATTGTCGGCAGCATCATCCTTTTTCCCAACACCATCAGCAGCATCAGCAGTGTCCTCCTCATCGTCATCAGTCTCGTCATCTGTGTTATTATCATCATCGCCATCATCATCAGCAGTATCACACTCATCATCATCATCATCATTATCATCATCGTCATCTTCCTCGTCGTCATCGTCATCATCATCATCATCATCACTATCATCATCATCATCATCATCATCATCATCATCATCATCATCATCATCATCATCATCCATACAAATCGGCCCATCATCATCATCTTCATCATTAGTATCCCCGACCGGCCAATCACAACACCATCAGCCCGCCAGCAGGGAGGGTTTGTCGTCGTCATCAGCAGCACCAGCACCAACTTCCAGACATCAGCAGCAGCTAGCATCGTAATATCTCATCATCATCATCAATCATCATCATCATCATCAGCACCAACACCAACAAACATCATAATCATCATCACACAAGCATCCATCATTATCCATCCATGAACGGAGTTTTTTTTTTTGCTCAAAGTCCTGTTGCAGAGCCTGCCTGGTCCTGCGAGGCCAATCCCTGGACATAATCGAGAGCCTGCTTGATCAAGGGTAGCACTTCGCCCACAGGATCGCACTTGAGCTCCGCGGAGGTCGGCGGCGAGGCTAGCGGATCAGAGCAGTTCTTGGTCCAGGACGCTCGCGCCCGGCGTTCGCCCTGGCGAGCGGCGGGTGGCGCAGGCGTGGCCGCACTGCTCCTGGCTGGTGCAGGCGCGGGGGCTGCGCGCTTGGCTCTAGGCGGGGCGGCGTCGGACACGGACCGCCTCCAGAGCAAGGTGCAGACGGTGGCCATGCCCCCGCGCGACAAGTGTTAGCAGCACGGACGAACGATTGCCACAAAGCCTGGGGTGTTGCAAACGTTGCGTCGCGGGCGGGCCTAATGCTTCCGGCGAAAACCAAGCCAGGGAAGGGCAAGTGCCTGATAACAAACTCTGCCAAAACACCCTCCAGTAGCGTAGGAACTGCCTGCACCCCCACCAGGCCGCCTCCCAGCTGTGCGTTCAGACGCAGCCGATCATGGACCCGATCCTCAAGGATGCCGACTGGTACGGCCCATCATTGTATTGCTTCGCAGTTGTCATGCAGGACATCGGCAGCACAAAGAAGATGTACGACCTGGAGCTGCTGCAGGGAGCATACGGCAGGAAGACCAGCATTTTCGGGTGCGAGAACTGGGGAGTATTCAGCGACAAAGAGGGGGAGGTCGGGCCGGGTGCTCCCCTCGTGAAGCTGGAGGATGCCGACGGGGACTTCCATTTCGCGAAGAGAGAGGAGACCGGCACCTGGCTGAATACGGGCTTGCACTACCAGGCCTGGAAGGCGATTGGGGAAGCGGGCGTGTACAAGAGCGCCAGCTGGGTCGTGAAGGTCGATCCAGACGCGGTGTTCGTGCCGAGCCGCTTGGTGTCCTACCTCTCTAGCAAGCTGGTCCCTGCCAACGGCCTTTACCTCGAGAATTGCAAAGGCGTGAAGTATGGGTGGTTCGGCAGCTTGGAGATCTTCTCGGCGGTGGCCTTCGAGACGCTCCTGGGGTCGATGGCCTCATGCAAGGACACCGTCGATTGGAAAACGGGCGTTGACGGAGGCAAGTACGGCCCCATGGGCGAGGATCTGTTTGCGCAGGTTTGCTTGGATGCGAACGGCGTCTCCCGTGGAGAGGCATTCGGTACCAAGCTGGACGGAACTTGCGAGGCGGACCGGCCAACCGACGAGAAGAAGAACAAGAAGTGGAAGCCCACGTGCGACGGCGAAAACTTCCCGGCGTACCACCCGTTGATGAAGCCCGAGGACTACATGGCGTGCTTGGATGCCACCACCAAGGCATTCGGCTACTGAGCACCCTGCAGGAGCCAGTGAAGCTGCGGTGCGCCAGACAGAGCGCCCTGCCCGCCTGCCTCGTGCGCCACACGCCCGTTGTTTGTGGTCGTGCAAGCATGTGTTGCGCTGCCCTGACCCGTCCTCCACACACAAAGTTGGTGATGAACAGAGATGTGTCAGAGGCAGCAGGCAGCCTGGCGCTGTTGAATTATGGGAGGACCCCATTTTCTTTCAGCTTGTGGATCAGCATCTGGCCTTCCACGGAGGCCTATGCTCAACCTCAGCTGCATAGTTTCTCCCGAGCTGTATCGCTGCGGCGAAGACAGCAAATCACCCTCATCGTCTCATCACCACCATCAATACCGCCGTCGTCGCGGCCTTCGTCATCGTCATCCCGATGTTGGATTGTTTCTGCAAACAGATATTGCACTCAGCGGGTCACCATCATCATCCTCATCAGCAGCATCATCATCATAACCATCATCATCATCATCATCATCATCATCATCATCATCATCATCATCATCATCACCATCACCATCATCATCATCATCACCATCATCATCATCATCATCATCATCATCATCGCCATCATCATCATCATCAGCATCATCATCATCATCATCATCATCATCATCATCATCATCATCGCCATCATCATCTTCATCATCAGTATCGGCATCATCAACACCATCAGCCGCAGCAGGATTGTCGTCGTCATCAGCAGCAGCAGCAGCACCACCAGCACCGGCACCACTTCCACCATCAGCAGCAGCAGCATCGGTATTATCATCACCATCATCATCACCAGCACCATCAACATCATAATCATCATCAGCACAAGCATCATCATTGCCATCCCTACGAGTTGTTGTTGCTCAAAAACTTGTTGAAGCCTGCCTGGTCTGCGAGCACTCCTGGCCATATCGGGCCTGCTATCAATGCCTTCGCCCACGGATCGCATGGAACTCGCGGAGGTCGGCGGCGAGGCGAGCGGGTCGGAGCAGTTCTTGGTCCAGGACGCTCGCGCCAGGCGTTCGCCCTGGCGAGCGGCGGGTGGCGCAGGTGTGGCCGCCTTGCTCCTGGCTGGCGCAGGCGCGGGGGCAGCGCGCTTGGCTGTAGGCGGGGCGGCGTCGGACACGGACCGCCTCCAGAGCAAGGCGCAGACGGTGGCCATGCCCCCGCGCGACAAGTGCGCCAGCACGGACGACGATTGCTACAGCCTGGGGTGTTGCAACGTTGCGGGCCTGAATTGCTTCGAGACCAAGCCAGGAGAGGGCAAGTGCCTGAAGAATTGCACCCCCAGCGCCTCCCAGCTGTGCGTTCAGACGCAGCCGATCATGGACCCGATCCTCAAGGATGCCTGCCGACTGGTACGGCCCGTCATTGTACTGCTTCGCAGTGGTCATGCAGGACATCGGCAGCACAAAGAAGATGTACGACTTGGAGCTGCTGCAGGGAGCATATGGCAGGAAGACCAGCATCTTCGGGTGCGAGAACTGGGGAGTATTCAGCGACAAGGAGGGGGAGGTCGGGCCCAGCGCTCCCCTTGTGAAGCTGGAGGATGCCGACGGGGACTTCCATTTCGCGAAGAGAGAGGAGACCGGCACCTGGCTGAATACGGGCTTGCACTACCAGGCCTGGAAGGCAATTGGGGAAGCAGGCGTGTACAAGAGCGCCAGCTGGGTCGTGAAGGTCGATCCTGACGCGGTGTTCGTGCCGAGCCGCTTGGTGTCCTACCTCTCCAGCAAGTTGGTCCCGGCCAACGGCCTCTACCTCGAGAACTGCAAAGGCGTGAAGTATGGGTGGTTCGGCAGCTTGGAGATCTTCTCGGCGGTGGCCTTCGAGACACTCCTGGGGTCGATGGCCTCGTGCAAGGACACCGTCGATTGGAAAACGGGCGTTGACGGAGGCAAGTACGGCCCCATGGGCGAGGATCTGTTTGCGCAGGTGTGCCTAGATGCGAAGGGCGTCTCCCGTGGAGAGGCATTCGGCACCAAGCTGGACGGAACTTGCGAGGCGGACCGGCCAGAGGCCGAGAAGAAGAACAAGAAGTGGAAGCCCACGTGCGACGGCGAGAACTTCCCGGCGTACCACCCGCTGATGAAGCCCGAGGACTATATGGCGTGCTTGGATGCCACCACCAAGGCATTCGGCTACTGAGCGCCCTGCAGGGGCCTGGGAAGCTGCGGTGCGCCAGGCAGAGCGTCCTGCCCGCCTGCCTCGTGCGCCCCACGCCCTATTGTTTTTTGGTCGTGCAAGCATTGTTCGCGCTGCCCTGGCCCGTCCTCCACGCAAAGTTGGTGATGGGCAGAGATGTGTCAGAGGTGGCACGCAGCCTGGTGCTGCTTAATCATGGGAGGCCCCCATCTCTTCGTCCAGCTCGTCCTGACGGCCCACTAGCCAGTGAAAGCACCATCACCGTAGTTATGTACAGTTTCCCGCCGTGGATCAGCACCTGCCTTTCCGCGGTGGCCTCTGCGGTGCTCTGAGCTTCCTGGATTCTCCCGATCAGCATCGATGCGGCGAGGGTGAAAACCTTTTACAGCGGAGGCTTTGGTATAGATTCATTGGCACGGATTTCCCACGTAGGGGTTCCTTTAGCGTGGTTTTATGTGTCAGGACTCCTTAGTCAGATTCCTTATGAGGGAGTCCTTTCGTAATGATTCCCAAGAATGAACATTGCTGTAGGTGTCCAGGGATTGCTTTTAGTAGAGATTCCGGTGGTGAGGTTTTTTTCAGTGAGGGTTCCTGAGTGAGGACTCGTTGGTAAGGACCTCTTAGTAAGGATTCCTTCAGTAAGGCCCCCGTAGAAACGATCCATTCAGCAATGCGTCATTTAGTAAATATTCATTGTGCGACGATTCATTCAGCACAGATCTCCCCAGTAAGGATTCCTCAAGAAGGGTCCCTCTAGTAAGAACTCCATACATTCAAATACATTCCAGATTCTACGGGCCCCTTCTAGTAAGGATGACGTCAGCAGGGATTCCTTTTTAGAAGGACTCTTTCCAGTACGGGTTGATGAGTGCGGATTCACGGGTAAGGACTCCTTAACAAAGCTTCTTTCAGTAATCATTCCCTGTGCAAGGATTGTGACAAATTCCTCTTCCTGCTTATCCTTCTATCCCTCTGTCCCCAGGGAGAGAAAGAGAGAGAGAGAGAGAGAGAGAGAGAAAAGAGAGAGAGAGAGAGAGAGAGAGAAAAAGAAAGAGAAACAGAGAGAGAGAGAGAGAAATAGAGAGATATCCAGAAATAACGAGAGAGAGAGAGAGAGAGGCGTGGACATTGCCTCTTCCCCTACTTATCCTCCTCCTCTCTCTCCTCATCCTCGCGCTCGACCTCCTCATGCTCCTCCTCATGCTTCCCCCCCGCCGCTCGCCCCCCAACGCCCAACGGGGGCGGGGGGGGGGGAAATATCCAAAGACAGAATGAGCAGCACAACACAACTCAAGAGTTCAAGCACTGACGGCTTACAAACCAACAACATCACATGGAACACGCAGCACCAACCAAACATAACAACTATCTCAATCACTCGTCCACCCCAACTGCCCCCCAGAGCTTGTTGTTCCCAACCATGCTGTGGTGTTGGTCCTCGTTTTGCAGAGACGGTCCCCGCGTTCCTTCCTCCTTCCTTCCTTCCTCCTCCTCCCCCTCCTCCCACCCCTTGCCTCTGCCCTCCGCATGTCCACCATTTCGGCACACCCCTCACACGTTTCGTGGCCCCATATTTGTGTTCCACCGAAGCCCCCAGTGGGACCGCCCGCATGCGTCAGCCACTACCCAGCGCAGCGTTTCGTGGCCCCATAGGGAACTCGACTGGCACCGCCCGCATGCGTCAGCCACCACCCAGTACAGCGTTTGGCCCCATAGGGGGCTCCACCGAAGCCCACAGTGGCACTGCCCGCATGCGTCAGCCACCTCCGAGTACAGCGTTTCGTGGTCCCATAGGGAGCTCCACCGAAGCCCCCAGTGGCACCGCCCGTTTCGTGGCCCCATAAGGGAGCTCCACCGACGGCCCCGGTGGCACCGCCCGCATGCGTCAGCCACCACACAGCACAGCGCTTCGTGGCCCCATAGGGGGGGGGGCTCCACCGACGGCCCCGGTGGCACCGCCCGCATGCGTCAGCCACCACCCAGTGCAGCGATTCGTGGCCCCACGGGGAGCTCCACCGAAGGTCCTAGTGGGACCGCCCGCATGCGTCAGCCACCACCCAGCACAGCGTTCGTGGCCCCATAGGGGCTCCACGGAAGCCCCCGGTGGCACCGCCCGCATGCGTCAGCCACCACCCAGTGCAGTAGGTGGCTCCACCGACGGCCCGAGTGGCACCGCCCGCATACGTCGGCCACCACCCAGTACAGCGTTTCGCGGCCCCGTAGGGAACTCCACCGAAGGTTTCAGTGGCACCGCCCACATGCGTCAGCTACCACCCAGCACAGCGCCATAGGGGGCTCCACCGACGGCCCCAGTGGCACCGCCCGCATGCGTCAGCCACCCAGTATAGCGTTTCGTGGGCCCATAGGGAGCTCTACCGAAGGCTCCAGTGGCACTGCCCACGTGCGTCAGCCACCACCGAGTACAGCGTTTCGTGGCCCCATATGGGGGCTCCACCGAAGCCCCCAGTGGGACCGCCCGCATGCGTCAGCTACCACCCAGCACAGCGTTTCGTGGCCCCAGAGTGAGCTCAACCGACGACTCCAGTGGCACAGCCCGCATGCGTCAGCCACCACCCAGTTTGGGGGTTTCACCGAAGACCCCAGTGGCACCGCCCGCATGCGTCAGCCACCACCCAGCACAGCGTTTCGTGGCCCCATAGGGGGCTCTTCCGAATGCCCCGGTGGCACCGCCCGCATGCGTCAGCCACCACCCAGCACAGCGTTTCGTGGCACCATTTGGGGGCTCCACCGAAGCCCCCGGTGGCACCGCCCGCATGTGTCAGCCACCACCCGATACAGCGTTTCGCGGCCCCATCATGGGGGCTCCACCGACGGCCCCAGTGGCACCGCCCGCATGCGTCAGCCACAAGCAAGTACAGCGTTCCGTGGCGCCATATGGGGGCTCAACAGAAAGTCCCAGTGGCACAGCCCGCATGCGTCAGCCACCACCCAGCACAGCGTTTCGTGGCCCCATAGGTGGCTCCACCGACGGCCCTGGTGGCACCGCCCGCATGCGTCAGCCACCACCCAGTGCAGCGATTCGTGGCCCCACGGGGAGCTCCACCGAAGGTCCCAGTGGCACTGCCCGCATGCGGCAGCCACCACCCAGTACAGCGCTTCGTGGCCCGGCCCCCCACACGGAACTCCACCGACGGCCCCAGTGGCATCGCCCGCATGCGTCAGCCACCACCTAGTGCAGCGTCTCGTGGCTCCATAGGGAGCTCCACCGACGGCCTCAGTGGGACCGCCCGCATGCGTCAGCCACCAACGGCCCCAGTGGCACCGCCCGCATGCGTCAGCCACCCAGCATAGCGTTTCGTGGCCCCACGGGGAGCTCCACCGAAGGTCCTAGTGGCACCGCCCACGTGCGTCAGCCACCACCGAGTACAACGTTTCGTGGCCCCATAGGTGGCTCCTCCGACGGCCCCAATGGCACCGCCCGTGCAGCGCTTCGTGGCCTCCATAGGAAGCTCCACCGACGGCCCCAGTGGCACCGCCCGCATGCGGCAGCCACCACCCAGCACAGCGTTTCGTGCCCCCATAGGGAGCTCCACTGAAGGCCCCAAATGCACCGCCCGCATGCGTCAGCCACCACCCAGCACAGCGTTTCGTGGCCCCATAGGTGGCTCCACCGACGGCCCCAATGGCACCGCCCGCATGCGTCAGCCACCACCCAGTGCAGCGTTTCGTGGCCCCTAGAAAGGGGCTCCACCGAAGGTCCCAGTGGCACCGCCCGCATGCGTCAGCCACCGCCCAGCCCAGCGCTTCGTGGCCCCATGGGTGGCGCCACCGACGGCCCCAGTGGCACCGCCCGCATGCGTCTCCCCCGAGCTCCAGCGAGGGGCACCGCCCGCATGCGTCCGCCACACCCAGTACAGCGTGTCGTGACCCATAGGGAACCCCACCGAAGGCCCCAGTGGCACCGCCCGCATGCGCCTCCCCCACCCAGTCTGGTACATTTCTCACCCGTTTGGTGGCCCCATAGGGAGCTCCACCGACAGCGGAACCCACAACGCCATATTCACAACTGCATATGGTTGGGTCCTTCGCCAGGATAATTTTTGTTTTTCTCCCTGGTGGCCCTCCGCCTGGGGGGCACCGTTGGGGATGGGGCCAGCTCAGGGGGGGCTATCGGCCCCTATCGGCGATGAGTGGGCGAGTGGGGGGCGATGTATCCTATCCCCCTGAGCCTACGCCCCTCTAACGGTTTCCCCCTGGTTTTTTGGGGTCATAATTCGGGTCTCTGGCCGCCGTCCGAGGCGATCCGGGCACCCTGGGAACGCCCTCGGCGAGGTGCAGCTGCTGGAAGGCATCCCGAGGGCTGTAAAAACGTCTAGGAACCGACAGAAAGCTCGAAAACCTCGGAGACAGGGACTTGTCCATCGCCGTTTTGGCTCAAGAGTTTGTTGCAGCCAGCCTGGTCTGCGAGCGCTCCCAGCAGCCACATCGCAACCTGCTACCAATGGCCTCGGCCACGGAGCGCATGGAACTCGCGGAGGTCGGCGGCGAGGCGAGCGGATCAGAGCAGTTCTTGGTCCAGGACGCTCGCGCCCGGCGTTCGCCCTGGCGAGCGGCGGGCGGCGCAGGCGTGGCCGCCCTGCTCCTGGCTGGTGCAGGCGCGGGGGCTGCGCGCTTGGCTCTGGGCGGGGCGGCGTCGGACACGGACCGCCTCCAGAGCAAGGTGCAGACGGTGGCCATGCCCCCGCGCGACAAGTGCGCCAGCACGGACGATGACTGCTACAGCCTGGGGTGTTGCAACGTTGCGGGCCTGAATTGCTTCGAGACCAAGCCAGGAAAGGGTAAGTGCCTGAAGAATTGCACCCCCAGCGCCTCCCAGCTGTGCGTTCAGACGCAGCCGATCATGGACCCGATCCTCAAGGATGCCGACTGGTACGGCCCGTCATTGTACTGCTTCGCAGTGGTCATGCAGGACATCGGTAGCACAAAGAAGATGTACGATTTGGAGCTGCTGCAGGGAGCATATGGCAGGAAAACCAGCATCTTCGGGTGCGAGAACTGGGGAGTATTCAGCGACAAGGAGGGGGAGGTCGGGCCCGGCGCTCCCCTTGTGAAGCTGGAGGATGCCGACGGGGACTTCCATTTCGCGAAGAGAGAGGAGACCGGCACCTGGCTGAATACGGGCTTGCACTACCAGGCCTGGAAGGCAATTGGGGAAGCAGGCGTGTACAAGAGCGCCAGCTGGGTCGTGAAGGTCGATCCTGACGCGGTGTTCGTGCCGAGCCGCTTGGTGTCCTACCTCTCCAGCAAGCTGGTCCCGGCCAACGGCCTCTACCTCGAGAACTGCAAAGGCGTAAAGTATGGGTGGTTCGGCAGCTTGGAGATCTTCTCGGCGGTGGCCTTCGAGACACTCCTGGGGTCGATGGCCTCGTGCAAGGACACCGTCGATTGGAAAACGGGCGTTGACGGAGGCAAATACGGCCCCATGGGCGAGGATCTGTTTGCGCAGGTGTGCCTGGATGCGAAGGGCGTCTCCCGTGGAGAGGCATTTGGCACCAAGCTGGACGG